TGAGTGTCGCCCTTATATAGCAGTCGGCTGCTCGCAGGCGAAAGCGTAGAAGCATCGAATTGTTCGCTATGGAAGGTTCTTGTTTTATCGTTTCTAGAATGTACTAGTTATCGGCTTTTCTCTTTCATCTGACATTCGCTCCGCATTTTCGCAACAATATGTTAAAAAGTTTTCACTCATAACGCACGCGCCGCAGGTCCGTCGAACACATAACCCACTTACCCCTCTCAACACTTGCTTCATCGTGACGTTCTTCGCGACGATGGCAAAGTAGGCCAAATTTAGAAATTCAAATTTGGTCATTAATATGTGACAAAAGTATGATAATAAAAGCGTTTGTTAATTTACATTTGCATAGATTTTAGTTCTCTGGTGTGTTTGAATACGCTCAATTCTGTTAAGTTTTCATATCGAGGTGAAACAGAAATTCAAAACGAGAAGGAAATTACTACTACACCAAACGAAAACGCCAGATATGTCAGAAACGCTGGCGCACCTTCCAGAGATTGTATAAAATGTTTCCTGAAATTTCTTAATTTTATTTTTTATATTACACGGGAAAACGAACACATCCAAATTGAGAATCAACCGGAAATTGCCGATTTTTGTTTACATTTTTTTCATTTGGCTTCTTTTTATGATTTACAAGCAATGGCCAAACGAGCAGCTGGATTGGTTATATTTCGCCGAATTGGAGAGCAGATACAGTACTTGTTGTTACGGGCATCCTACGGAGATTTTCATTGGAGTTCACCCAAAGGTCATGTTGATCCAGGGGAAGACGACTTTACAACGGCTTTGAGAGAGACCAAAGAAGAAGCCGGGCAAGTGCTCGGAACCTTTTGTTTTGAATGCAATAATTTAGCCAATTATCATATTACAGGTACTCGGAGGAAGATTTAATCATCTACCATGATAAGAAAAAAGTGCTGAATTATAAAGTAAACGATAAACCGAAAGTGGTAATTTATTGGTTAGCTCAGTTAAAAGACCCAAACAAAGAGCCAATGTTATCAGATGAACACGTTGAAATGAAATGGTTGTCTAAAGATGATGCGAAAAGAACGGTTGGTTACAAGGACAATCAGGATATGATCGACGAGTTCCATGAAATAATTCTAAAATTACAATAAAAAAAATCAGTTAATTTACGACGTAAAAGAAAATAAGCATCTTAAATTTCAAGTTTACCAATTTCATTTACATCTACCTTTTTTAAATTATGAATTGATCCTTATGTATTTACGCCCACGCACCAACAGATTTGTCGATTTTTTTTCCAAAAAAAAAAGGTGCTGTGTAAGGGATAGACTGCGTTGGACCGCCTAGGCTCCAATTGTGCATACAAATTATTAACTATACAGAATTCGACGGAATTCACTACCTTGATCTCTTCGGATGTCAACAGGTAACATTAGTTTAAGTCTATGAACAACGGAGCAACACCTTTCAGCTTTTTTGCTCCAAATCCTTATCAGGGCTGGCGTCGAAACCAACACACGGTTGGAGTCATCTTAAGACTGCTCAGGCCTTAAGACTCACAGGGAGTGGACATGACCTCAGTCAGCAGCAACTCTTGCTCTGGCTGGTGTCATTTTCGGGCGTGCTCTGGCCTGCGCAACATCCGTGCTGTTGGAGTGTGCCCCCGCCTATTTCGACAAACATACCGCCAACTAACATCAATGTGCGGAACCAACTTCTGCTGGCATTACAGCAGCAACACACACCATCCACTCATCACTCCCTCGTTCCCCGTATCACGAACGTTCCCCCGAGACAGACCCGACTCATACAATTTAACTGCAACGGACTGCAGGGAAAGATTGACGAGATAGTCGACTACATGAGCCGGGAGCACCTGTCAACTGCTGCGATCCAGGAAACCAAGTTGACCGCCCCATCAGGTCTTCTGAACAGGGCCGGATACAACATAATCCGCAAGAATCACGAGCGAGACCACGGTGGGGGCTTAGCGTTCATCCTTCACAACACCGTGCAGTATCGTCTCATCGATGGCGACATCGACCGCAGGGATACTACCCTGGAATGTCAGAATGTCAATATATACATTCCTTCAGTTACAAGTTGCCCAGCAGGATACACCCCTGATATAGGTGCGCTACTCAGGGGCGAAAGCCGTTTGGTTTTGGGCGACTTTAACGCGCATCACGATCTTTGGCATTCTAGCCTGTCAAATGACCGTAGAGGAATGGAGCTGGCGGAACAGATAGACGATTCGACATTCTGCACAATGAACGACAACACCCCCACCAGAGTTATGGGTAATTGCCAAAGCTCGCCAGACATAACAATTGCGAGTGCTGGTCTGATAAACAGTATAGTCTGGCGACCTATACTGACGTTAGCATCGGACCACTTGCCCTTACAAATCTCGATGGATAGGTCTTCCGTCTTTATTTCCGCGGAAAACCGGACATTTGTTAACTTTAAAAAAGCTAACTGGCCCGGATTCACGGAATTTACTGAGAACGCCTTCAGTGCTCTTCCCACTCCAATTGACGTCGCTGCTGGTGAACGCTTATTCCGCAGGGTCGTCGTGACCGCTGCCGCCCGCTTCATTCCTGCAGGCCGAATTGCGGAAATCCGCCCGAATTTTCCGACAGAAGCAGCGGTATTAGCATCCAGGCGCGACACCCTCCGAAGCTCCGGTCCCGGGAATCCCATAATCAGGGATTTAAACGCGGAGATTCGAAGAGTTGTCAACAATCATAAGCGGAAAAAGTGGGGGGCGTAACCTCTCCTCTGGGCCAACCAAGCTCTGGGCTACAGTCAAGTCGCTGTCTAACCCGACGAGACGCGATGACCGGGTGGAAATTTCATTCGGTGACCGTGCCTCGTCGGACCCGAAGAGATAAGCGAGCTATTTTAGCCGACTTTTCACACTGCATCCCTCGGTAGACAAAGCGAAACGACGTGTAACCCGCCGTATGCGCAAACTGTCAAACACCAGCGCGGTGCTTCATTTCTCCAGGGAGGAGGTTCAGGGGGTCATCGGGAAGGCTAAAGCCTCCAAATCTATCGGCCCCGACGGAATAAGCATGCTGATGCTGAAACACCTTGGATCGGCGGGAGCAGAATTTCTCACGAGGGTCCTCAACTTATCTCTGACCACCCTGAAGATAACCGATGTGTGGAAAATGGGTAGGGTGGTCCCGCTACTTAAAGGAGGGAAACCAGCCAACAAAGGAGAGTCCTATCGACCGTTAACTCACCTCTCCCCAGTAGCGAAGACACTTTAGACCTTACTGCTCCCGACCTTCACTCACCATCTGCGTCCAGCAACACATCATCAAGGTTTCCGGAAAGTGTACAGCACCACAACAGCACTTAACGCCATAAACACCCAAACAGTCCATGGCCTTAACCGAAACCGACAATGCGCGCGAACTGTCCTGGTAGCACTGGATTTGTCAAAAGCTTTTGACACAGTCAATCATTCAGTGCTACTAACGGATATTGTGGAATGCTCGCCGCCGAGGTTGCAGAGGCTACTTGAGAGGTCGACAATCGGTAATATTCCGAGATGTAACATCAAAACCTAGAAAAATAAAACAGGGGGTTCCGCAGGGTGGTGTCCTCTCCCCACTACTGTTGAATTTCTACATCTCGAAACTCCCTCCTCTACCAGAAGCAGTTTCCTTAACCTTGTATGCTGTCTTCACCAGATGGGCGAAGGAGTGCAGGCTTAAACTAGATGTTAAGGTCGATGACACAAAAATTCCGACGGTAAATAACCCAAAGATATTGGGAGTATTGGGAGTAACAAAATACTCAAAGCCGGTGTAAAGTGACGGAGATAAAGACAAAGAAACCTTGCAAGCAACTTATAAAGCAATTTGCCGGCCGGTCGTAAGCAATGCTGCATCGATCTGGGCGCCGGAAACTAATGAGACGGAGATGAAGAAGCTATAGGCTTGCCAGAACACCACCCCAGGACTGCGACAAGAAACTTCCTGATGTCGCCGGAGCATCACTGGCACAGGGAAGCATCTATGCTACGAGTTAAGGAGCATAATGCTTTACTGTGCAAGCAGTTCCTATTGGGAAGTCACCGCAGGGAGCACCGCAATAGGCACTTAATAGAAGCAGAAGTACTTGATTTAAAGGACACAATCCAGCAACATGTACAACAACCACTGGACAGGACGGCGTACCGACAAGCACTGAACGCCATTCACCAGGAGTCAGTCAACACCTTCAAAGACTCTATTCCAGTGAATGACGTTCTTGGAGTAAAATCGCCACTCATAGCAGACAATAAGCTGTCTCGAGAGACCCGCGTGACCTTGGCACAACTTAGGTCTGAATACTGTAGCAGGTTAAACTCCTACTTATCCAGACTCGACTTCAGCATATCCAACGTATGCCCTGCATGTGGAGAGTCTCCGCACGACACTAATCACCTCTTCACATGCCCCATAAACCAACTCATCTAACCCCCCTCTCCCTTTGGTCCAATCCCTTCGAAACAGAATCGTTTCCTGGACCTCCCATTAGATGACCTCGGCGACTTAGATTAATAAAACCTGTACCTAAGCGGGGTTAGCGAACCTTTACAACAACAACAACACGATCGGGTTTCTCTCAGGTAAGTTTATTTGATCGTACAATTATACCATGCTGTCTACTCCTCGAGATCATTATAACTTGCAGTTATTTACAAAATAGGGAGGTTTGTTTTAATAGAGTACTTTATTTGTTGTTTCTTATATTAAAAAATAGAACAAATTTTATCATGTTCATCAAATTCGACACTACACACCCCACTGTCCTTGTTTTCATTTTGCCCGGAATTTTTATCATTGCAGAAAAAGAGTTAAAATGTTCGTTAGAAACCTTATTTTGGATAAGGTTTGAACTATTAGCGCCGTTACTAAGGCTAAGAGACCAGCAAGCTTCATAGAAAGAAGATATAGTTTTAAAGCGTGGTTGCATCTCAAACTCAAACTATAGAACTATCCTGGGATCCCGGCGACTTCCAAGTGGGGTGGAATTGCCTGAAAGGAGAACGAAGGAGATGAATATCTCTCTCAAAAATATTCTATGAAAAGTGGAAATCAAGGTCTTGATGGCCAATTGGGTACTGCCGTATACAGTTGGGCCATTATCTTTCTGATAACCTTCAGAATAAAAGCAAAAGAATGAAAAGCGTGAAAAACAAGATTAGACTAATCAGTGGGGAAAGCGCCAATTTTCGTAGCTTCCGGGACGGGGAACCAAGAACAGAAAATCGGACATTTACAGGCCTATTTTGTCGAGGTAAAAAAAATTGTTGAAAATTTACCATTCAGTATATATTGTTACTATTTCGTATTCTGTGTCCACTGTCACCCTATAAATTTTGCTACCAGCGAAATAGGAGGTAACAAAAATTCTGCTGTTTGATTTTGTGTTGTTAGTTTGAGAAAAAATAAACACCAAAATGGGTAGGCAGATTTCTGGACTGGAATTCATTGAATATGAAAAATAAAGTGTAAAAAGGCGTATGCCAAGAAGTTTGCGAGAAGAGAATGGCCCTTTTTATTTGGAAGATAGCGTTTACTTTCAGCTATTTTTTTGTCGTTTAGGCATATTTTCCAAAATTATTATTATATTATTTATTTTGTTGTGCACATTGACAAGGACAAAAAAGCAGTGTTGCCAGAGTTTTTTCAAACATTTGACCAAATACCTAATGTAGTCTTGCTTCCCTCATCACAAGAGATACTTCATCCAGCAACCGAAGCATCAGAAAAAATTTCTAAGATAAATTTACCCTCTCTAATAGCATTCTTCGCAATGCCAATATTATTGGTCCACCAATTAATATCTGCGTGAAGATAGGATTCAATTAGAACCTTCCCTTCATAGTTACATCCATACTTCCTAAGAGCTTTTGTCTGCCCGATTTTTTTGTATACAGCATTCTACAATATATTGTATTGCGGGGCAAGCTGCAATAAGGTGCGTTATAAATTGGTCTAAAAACAAAAATTTCACAACTGACATCCCTGCAAGAACGGGCAGATGGGTTCACCAATGCATTCACACGATTTTGGACAGAACTAATGTTGCAACTATCCATCTTACATACCTTCCATCCACAGCAACATATCTTATGAGAGCGCCATGTAAACACAAAGTTTTCACCGCTTGCCCATGCCGTTACTGACGGTTGT